TGAAGCCATGCCTACTCTTTTTGACCATTGCTTCATCTTCTAGATGTTCATTAACTATCCTTTTAATAATATATTTTAGCACCTCCAGAGAAAGAACTGATTAATAGAAGTATGCTTAGTATGGTTTTATACATACACGCATATACATATATGCATGTATACCTATACATGCATATATGTGTATATATACATATGTGTGGTATGTGTGTGTGTGTGTGTGTGTGTGTAATGGTGATGGCCTTCTCTGGTGTGGGAAAAGGAGAGTGGGAAGAAGGGGGATAGTTTGGTACTTAAAATGTAAAAAAAATCAATTTAATTTAATTAAAAAAATACATTTTAGAATTTACCAGGAATTAAAGTCACTGGCCTATAGTATTCAGAAAATCAAGACGTTTACTCTAATCTAGCCTTCAGGCCTTTCTGCTCTTTACAACTGTTTAAAGGTTACCAAGTGTGGCTCACAGAATCTCAGAGCTGAAAGAGCCCTCAGAAGTAACCTCTGACATCTGAACTCAAGGAGAAAAGAACTGGGCTCCCAGCCCCTAAGATAGCCACTGGCTCTGTCATTCTAGAGATGTGGCACAGTGCTCAATTCTGAGCATCTGTTATCAAACCCCACCTCTGATAATTACTATTTATGTGACCTTGGGGAAGTTAGCTAGCGTCCATGCACCACAGGTGAGAATCTCCCTCTGGAAGGCAAGGCTGGTTGGGACCAGCTGACCTCTGACGCGTCTTCCAGCTTGGCATCTAGCTGCCTATGACTAATCTTCCATCCAGACCCAACCTTCTTATTGGTTTCAATTCTTCAAGCCCTTTTACGAGTCTCTTAGTGAAAATGGACTTTTCTCTGGGCCAGGCTGATATAGAGAAGCGATCAGTGAGGCCCGACAAACTGGTAATGACAGGACCCACACCAACTCAATTTAATTCAGCAATTATTTAAGTGGCAATTGTATGCAATTTAGATTCTAGAGAGGGCTGGGAGTTGGAGGAAAATAGTTGGAAGCCCCAGAAAGCGTAGAGTTCAAGTCAGCTATGGAAGACCAGGACCACCAAATTTGGAGTTGGAAGACCCGGATTCCAGTCCTGCCTCTAACTAATGAGTGACCTTGGGCAGGTCCTTCACCTTTAAGTCTTAGGTTTCTCATCTGTATAATGAGCAGAATGGTCTAGGAGTTTCTAAGGTACTTCTGGCTCTAAATCATCCAGGGGCATACTGGGCTATGGAGGAGTTATATAAAAATGTTTGTTTGGACTGAGCGAGGATTGGGAGGGAACACTTCTCTCCTAACTCTCATAGGGCATTTTGTACAGAGAGAATCAGCTTGATAGCTGTCTACAAGTATTTAAAAGGCTGTTATGTGGGAAAGGGATTAGTCTGTTCTGCTTGGCCTCAGAGTACAGAACTGGGAGCAGCAGATGGAGGCTGCAGAGGGGCAAATTTTGGCTCAACATAAAAAAAAAAAAAACAACTTCCTATACTTAAAAAGCTATTGAAAAATAGAACAGGACGCCTCTGGAAATAGTGAGTTCCCCATCATTCAAGGTCTTCAAGGAAAAACTAGATGACCACTCATCAGGTATCTTGTAGAGGTGATTATTGATTATAATAATAATAGCTAGCATTTATACAATGCTTTATAAATATTATCTCACTTGATCCTCACAACAATCCTGGAGGTAGGTGCTATTATTATCCCCATTTTACAGATGAGAAAATTTAGAGGTTGAATGACTTCTTCTGAGTTACACAGAACTAATAAGCATCTGAGCTCATCTTCCTGATTCCAAGTTCTGGGCTCTAGCTTCTGCCACACCTAGCTGTCACTATGATCTCTTCCAACTCTGAGATTCTGTGATTATGTTATGCATGTTTAAAGTGCTTTGGTATCATAAAACAATCATAAAGAAGATTTTTAGAGGATATCCATCCCCACTGGGCCCATTTGGGGTCAGAAGTCATCATAAAATATCAAGTAAGCCTTGTGGTGCAGTGGAAATAATTCTGAATTTGGAATAATAGGCTTTGGGTTCATGATTGCAATTCAACCACTCACTAGCTATGGGACTTTATTCTTCAATTCCCTTGGCCTCAGTTTCCTCTAGAAGAGAGGACCTCTAAGATGCTTTTCAACACCGTAGTGATTCTGTTCTATTCACAGGCCACCCAGTTATGATCTTCATTAAGGAGGGAGAATTGTTAATTTAGGATCAATCAAAGGATTTAGAAGGAGAAAGGTCCTTATAGATCATCTAGTCTAAGCCACCTCACTATATAGATGAGAAAACTGAGGCCCATAGAGAGAAGGGAAATGACAGACCCAAGATTAGATATCCAGGCAGGGTGAAGACTAGACCTTGGCTGTCCTGATTGATACTGAACCCAGGACTCTTTCTCTCACTTTAATTATTCTGGGAGAGAACTAAGATCCCACCAGTCCTGTTAATGGTACCAGCCCAGAACTACCCCAAGCTGAATTTCCAAGTCTCTTTGTTCAATATCCAGGCCACTTCAGAAGCCTGTCCATACCCAGTAACTTTCCTCTGGGCCTTTCCTCCTCTTTAGCCAGAGGTGATGATTGTTCCCACCTTTGGCTTATCTGAATTTAGTTGTAAAATTCCTCTTTCGGTCCTGCTCTTTGGGATTCATACAAAAAAATCAGGCTTTCCCCACACTCGAGACTCCCTCATGGCTGGGTCTAGCCGTATAGGTAGTATGGGCTCTAATTTAACTATTAAGTGCCTACCATATGAAGGCAACACAGTGGCAGAGAGAGAGTTGATAGAGCTGGGGAAGAGAGAAATGGAAGCCAGCTATCGATGTGGAAGCCATGACCAGTCTAGATGAAACATTACATAAGCAGACAGGAGGACTTTTGAAACTTGGAGGAGTGGCTATCAACTCCTCTGGCCAAGGGAATTAAGGGGGGCCATTAGCACCCACTGTTAATCCTCAGGGCTGATGCCTGTCAGTCTAGAGGCATTGGCATGAGTCTACCTCAGCACCCCATGCCAGCCCACAGGGCTGAGCTAGAGCAAGATTGTGCTCACAGAGGTGTTCCACCAGAGAGGAGCTGAGAATGTTCCTGGAGGTATTGAGAAAGGCTGGGTAAGTTTTCTGGAATGAGAGAAGGCAGCAGCAGCAGTACCCAACTGATGATCTGGTCTCCCAGGAATGCCCTCAGCCTGCTTTAGTTAGGGTGACCCAGACTGTCAACGGCTGACGTGGAAATGGGTCTAGGTTAGAGGCTCCCAGCCATGAGACCAGGGTTGTCTGGGGTGACAAGATTGTAGCAGTGATGGGGTGGAGCCAGTCCTGGCCTCTGCCACTTATGGCTATCAGGTATTCTCTTCCTTCACCCCTTTCTTGGAACTCCCTTTATAGCCATCAGAATTTCCTGAAGCAAACCAAGCTCACCTCCCTGAGGCCAGCCAAGGACCCATAGCCTCGCATCCCCACTCCTGAAAATACAGCTCAATTCAACAAACACCAATGAAGTGTATGTGATATGCATTGGAAGGGGGCTGGTTCTACCATGAGTCCTGGGGCAAAAATCCAAGCTCTCCAGGGGAATCCTCCTACAGTATCCAGATCTTTACTCAAATATTGAGATTCTGATCAACAGTGAGCTCAATGATTTAAAAAAAAAACATGGAAAGACTTGCATGAAATAATGAAGAGCAAAATGAGCAGAATCAAAAGAACATTGTATACAGTAACAGCAATATTGTTTTAAGAACGACTTTGAGTGAATAAGTTATTTTGACTATTATAAATACCCAAATTAACTATAAAGGACAGATGAAGAAAGATGCTATCTGCATGAAGAAAGACTAAATAGATGTATAGAATAATATATATAAAATATATATGTATGTATATACATACATATATATATATTGATTGGTGTCTAACAGTAGCCATGGGGGGGAGGAAAGAAAAAAAGAAATTTACATGATAATTTTGTTGTGTATTTGAAAGGAATAGCAAGTTGTGCATAGCAGATTTGCAGTTTCATGTGCAATCATCTTTTTTATTATACTATGTTATGGAACTGTTTGTTTTATTCTGTAAATTAAAAATAAAAGTTTTAACAAAAAAACAGTGAGTCTAGCAATCAGGACTAGGAAAAGGACAGAAACACACACAGAAGACAGAACAACAGAATTTCTGGGTCCTTTCTCTGTTACCTCAATTAAGGCACACATGTTTCCCTCTAATCCCACCATATTCTCACTTTCTCCTAGAATATAGGATACCATCCCTCCACTCTCTCAGATATAAACCCTCCTTCTCCCACTACACACACACACACACACACACACACACACACACACACACACACACA